CGCCGGGGGGAGGCGGCTGGGGGGGGGGGGGGGGGTCAAAAAATGGCACCCCCAAACCAGTTAGGGAAGAGGAAAAAAAAACTAAATTATATAATAAATTATGAATAAATCACTGCCAGTATCCCTGGACCTGGTGCTTCTTGCACTGGGGGACCAACATGCTCACCTATGCCGCCTACTCCTACATGTATGCCGGCCGCAGCTCCTTCCTCATCCTGGTCATCGTGCTGTGCAATGTATTGGTGTGCATGGCCTTCGTCCGGATGCACTGGCAGTTCATGCGCCGGACCTCCCTTGGCAACCGATGCCCAAGTCTCTGAATTCAGGCAGCGGAGGAGCTCTCGCAGGATCGCTAGGCCTGCGATCCAAATGGTCATCGTGCTCATCGGCACATCTGTGGGTGGTGAGTCCGGGGAAATGCAGCCTGTGAGCTCTGTCCCGGGGTATGTATCTAGAGCAGGGCGATCTACAGAGCCCAGCGGCCAAGGACAAAGATGGGTAACTGCAGAATTAGACGGCATAGCATATTAAAGGCAGAAGATCGGTGTTGCAGCTGCAGAACTAGAGACTAGCCCAGCATGGCACGGCAGGAGAGAATGGGTATTGTAGCTACAGAACTAGAGATGCCAGCATGCTAGGGAAGCAAATGGGTATTGTAGCTGAAGAACTAGCGACTAACACGGTATGCCAGGGCAGGAGAGAATGGGTATTGTAGCTACAGAACTAGAGATGCCAGCATGCTAGGGAAGCAGATGGGTATTGTAGCTGAAGAACTAGAGACTAACACAGTATGCCAGGGCAGGAGAGAATGGGTATTGTAGCTGCAGAACTAGAGATCCCATCAAGCCAGGAATGGAGAAGGTGGCGATTGCAAAAGCAGAAGTAGAGGGTCCTGTTACGTTGATAGCGCAACTTGTCAGAATCTAGATACAGCGTGCGCGCTGTCCGCGACCGACAGGTTATGCAAAACAGGAAGGGGTGGGGGGCAGTTTAGTCTTGCCTAGGGCAGCACAAAATCAAAGTACACCACTGCCTACAATGCATTCAGAAAGTATTCAGACCCCCTTCACATTTTTCAATTCTGTTATGTTGCAGCCTGATACTACAGTTGTTTAAATTATCTTTTTTTCTCATTAATCTACACTCAATACCCTATAATGACAAAGTGAAAACAGAATTTTAGAAAAGTCTGTAAATGTATAAAGGTTCAATCGGGTTCAAATCAGGGCTCTGGCTGGGCCACTTTAGGACATTCACAGAGTGTTCCCCATGTCACTCCTGTGTTGTCTTGGCTGTGGGCGTAGGGTCGTTGTCATGTTGGAAGTGAACCTTCAGCACAGTCTGAGGTCCTAAGCGCTGTGGAACAGTTTTTCATTGAGGATCTCTCTGTACTTTGCTCCCTTCAGCTTTCCCTCAACCCTGACCAGTCTCCCAGTCCTTGCTGCTGAAAAACACTGCCACAGTAGGATGCTACCACCACCATGCTTCACTGCTGGGATGGTATTGGGCAGGTGATGAGCAGTGCCTTGTTTCCTCCAAACATAATGTTTAGAATTGAAGCAGAGAATCTTGTTCTTCACAGTATGAGAGTCCTTCGGGTGCTTTTTTGCAAACTCCAAGCAGGCTTTCATGTGTTTTGCACTGAGGAGAGGCTTCCGCCTAGCCACTCTGCCATAAAAGCCAGATCAGTGGTGGGCTGCAGTGATGGTTGTCCTTCTGGAACTTTGTCCCATCCCCACACAGGATCTCTTGAGCTCAGTCAATAATCCTGTATCTGAGCTCTGAGGGCACTTCCTTTGACCTCAGGGCTTTTGCTTTGATACAGTATGCATTGTCAGCTGTGAGGCCTTCTATAGACAGGTGTGTGCCTTTCCAAATCATGTCCAATCAATTTAATTTACCACAGGTGGACTCCAATCAAGGTGTAGAAACATCTCAGCAACGATCAAGAGAAATTGGAGGCACCCGAGATAAATTTCAAGTGTTGTTGCAAAGAGTCTAAATACTTATGCCAATGTGATTGATATTTCACAGACATTTCTAAAATTCTGTTTTCACTTTGTCATTATAGGGTACTGAGTGTAGATTAATGAGAATCTTAAAACAACTGTAGTAACAGGCTGCAACATAAACACAATTAAAAAGTGCAGGGGATCTGAATACTTTCTGAATGCACTGTATATGCTACAGCAAAACTAATGGGAATCCATTTAATCACAAACATACAATAGGTAGAAACATCAAAGGTAAATTTATATAAAAAAGGGCCTTTTAAGAATAAAGCAATAATTATTTTATCACTTAAAGTGGAATGGAAAATAGATTAGAAATGTTCCTTGCCATCATAATAAAGCCTGTTTGTAAAAAAATAAATAAAAAAAAACTCATTATTTAGAGACTCAGTCACCAACAAAAATTGCTGGCAAAAGCAAAGAAAAGTTAAGTATTTGAAATCCCTACTTGCAGCTTTTTTTTTTTTTTCTTTTCCATAAACGCATTTGTATTCACTTGAAATGTCCCTTTCTGTTTGTCCCTTTCAAATTTGACTGTTTGGGGAAGAATCAATTCCTTAGTACAGCTCCTTCCCTCTTTGCACATCATAGCCCTCTCCTCTTCTGGCAGTGTCAGACTGAGCTCTGTGCTGGTCCATCTTCTCCACTGTCCTCCCCCCACCCCCCCCCCCCCCCCGTCTTACAACATGTCCCTAACTCCATTGGAGCAATTTATCGATCTCCCAAGAAACTCAGGATATCCAGCTTAGTGGGTTGTGATCGGTGATTACAGTAGAGCTGCGCCCATAAAGATAGAGTGTCTTGAGATTGTGTGGGCTCTTCTGGTTTCCATGACAACACCTTAGCTAGTTTCTTTTTTTGTTAAGTCAGTTAGGGACTCATCCAGGCTACTGTACTTACAAACATCCTATAGTAGTCAGCTGTCTCCAAAAATTACATAACCTAATTTTCGGTTTGAGGGGTAGGCCAGACCATGATGGTCTCAACCTTCCCGGTCTCAGGTTTCAGAGTGCCTCCTCCTACCCGGTATCCCAATTACTAGATTTCGGTCATGCCTACCTGACATTTACTGGGTTTGACTGTCAGATTGGCTGACGCTAATTTGTCCAGGACCTGTGACAGGTGTTCTTTCCAAGTGGGACTGAACATTGCAATGTCACCCAGGTAAGCAACTGCAAAAGCTTCCAGCAGGTAATTCATGACCCTCTGAAATGTGGATGGGGTGCTCTTCATCCCAAATGACATTACTGTAATTTTTAATAATCCAGAGAAAATGAGACAAGTATTATTATTTTTTTGTCTGGACCGGAACAGACTGCGCTGGTGTGAACAGAGGCCAGAAATACCATAGGGATACATTGGGATGCTTTTTTGGTCCGGGAACAAACTGTTCTGGTCTGGACATGATCCTGACATGGTGTGAACAAGCTCTGAGTTTGCAGGGCACAAAAGTTCATGTGTTTAAGGCTATGGTTCACACCATGTCTGGAACTGGAGATGCATATATCTACTGCTTGCTAGCAGTAGATATATGCAAAAAAACATGAGGGTTTAAATAACCCTTTAAGAATGAATCAAGGTCTCAACAACTAAAGGCATAGTTCTATTCATTTTAATTATAAGGTGTTGTTTGCTAAACATTTTTGCACAATTAGGGCCCAGTCATGCCATACCCAGTGCGTTCGGGCGCAGTCTGAGCCCAGAATGCACTGAATAGCATGGATCAGGCCGGGCCATGTTCTGAGGCGGGAGAGGGTGTGGCGGTGCCATTCATGTCAATGGCACTGCAGACACACCACATGCAGTACGATCGCCCGCACCGGAACCCGAGGTACAGGAATGCCCTCCGTTCCAGTGCTGTGCGATAGGAAAAAAAAACTGCATGTATGGTAT